TTTCCATTCTTGTTTTTGCTAATGTCCCCCTTTTGTAAGAGTTCAAATGTCTCACATCAATTAAAATTGAACATGTTGAATAGTATATAAGTAAGAATAACCCATCTATTTAATATCTTAAGGTTTTGAGTTATAATAAGGTATCAAACTCAGTTGTATAACTTACTCACTTCTCATGAATGAAGTGTTAAAACTCTCTAACAATGATATCAGAGCTAATGGTTTGACTAAGTGATTGGTGATCGATTTAGACGAGTATCGAGTAATGGAATTGGTTGTTGATACCAAGACTAAATTGGTGGTTTGACTAAGTGACTAGAGATCGATTTAGATGAGTATCGAGTAATGAAATTGGTTGTTGACACCAAGAGTGAATTGGTGTAGGATCCAAGAGTGAGATCTTTCTTGTATTGAAAAGTCTCCCTAGAAGTGTGGAAGACGTATGCAATGGCAGTTCAAGAAGACCACCATTGAATACTCATAGATGAAAAAAGACTTTCGCTTGAGGGGGTGTGTGACCAATTGGAATAGACTCACACTTAAAGGAGTGTTGAAGTTCAAGTGTAAAGTGAGTTCCACATCCACATCGGTTAAAGTTGGGCATGTTGAGTAATTTATAAGTAAGAAGGATCCACTTACATAATGTCTCACATCTGTCATCTAGTGCTTATCTAGGTAAGGGAAAGTGAGAAATCTCGTTTTGGGTGTGAGAATATATGTTGGGTAGTGGAATTGACTTCCAATCTTATTTCTGTTGTTTTTCCTTGTATAAAGGGTTTTTCCTAAATGTGTCTTTATCTTCTGTATTTCTCTTTGTGTGTTCTAATTGATGTAAATTGTATGTATGTGTTGGTAAATTTTGAAATTGGATTGTAAATTATATTTTTTGATGTTCTTATGGGTTCCAGTGGGAACCCTAAAGGAATGCATTAGGGGTTGTATGAGGAGATTATTTGATTATGTAATTATATGCCTAAATTATGTTGTTTAGAACATTTATTACATGGTTTAGAATGTTTCTACCAATTGAATTGTGTATTTGGTGAATTGGCGTGTGACTCGTATTTTCTGCATTTTTCTACAATGTGTGCTATTTTTGATACTGCGTTAAGCGCCACATGGGGCGTGTTGGTCATCATTGAGGTTGAGAGCAAATTTTTCTCTGACGGTCTCTCACACTAGGTGTGAGATGATCCTTACCGGGTGCAAAAGCTCTCCAAGGGCTTCCCTATGACGCTTCCATTGGGCATGAGTTGACTCTCGTTGAGCATGGACATTGTAGGGGCTCTCTATTGTATTTTCGTTGGGCATGAGCTCGATTACGTTGGACACGATTCAGACAAAGATCAATGTGGTCCTCTAGAGGTATTGCATCGGGAGCAGGACATGTGTTGTCGGGCGCCATTCCATTTGTGAATGTTGTTTGATGTTCCTTAGATTACATGATATTTTCATGTGTTGTAAAGTAAGTTGTACATGAACATATATATATGTGTGTATACGAGTGATTGATGAAGAATGTGATATAATGAGGTTTGTTATATGTGAATTAGGAGATCATGTGAAATGTTACGCATAGTGTCTATTTAACATGCATCATGTGCATAAAAGTATTTTTTTAAGGGTACGATATGAAATACACCACCAGGGAAGACCCTCTCATGTAAAAGCTAGGGTATCAATCCTTGAGCATAGCTCAATTTGAAAGTCTCAGTCTTGCTTTTTGTGTGCATGTGTTGTATCTTGCGCGACTTAATTATTTCGATCAGACCCTGATAGTATGTCCTCTTAGTGAGAATACACAGAGGGTGTGACCCATCAATACTCTTAGGCTACTCTACGTGTATTGTGTGATGTCTTATTAATAAAATAATATCTTTCCCATAGCTTATTAATTCAATTATAAAATTAATAAAATTTATCATAGGAACAAAAAAAATTCATGAACTAATGTACATATAATTAGATTATATACATCACAATATATACAATAACGTACTTATTTACAAACTATTTTTTTTTCACTTCTACTAGAATAATTACATATCAAGTTGAAATAAAGTTACTATTGGGTTGGTATGATTGACTAGAGGTAAATAAAAAGTAACTAGTATAGAGTCATCTATAATAGTGGGACTTTCCTAGTTTGGAAAAAATACAAAAGTTGATAATCCTATGCCTTGAAAAGTTACTAAATTTGCAAATGCATCAATGCTTCAATTTGTGCCAGAGAATACAACCGAGATAACTGTGGTAAAAGAGCCTAGTATAGCTAGAAAGTCCATCTATTGTATTATAATTAATTTAATTTTAAAACAAAGAAAAATAAGGAGTGGGAACAATTATCCAATAAATACAAATAAATAAATAGAATATACAAAATTATTCGTAACTAATATTAATTATATATTTTAGATTTTTCTTGTTTTAGTAAAATTTGAATTATTCTTGTAGTGACTAATCATGATAAATAAACTTTATCATAATTTCAAATAACAAAATGACATTCCATCTTAAGTTTGTACTCATTTAAATCTCCAAAGTCAAACCTCCAACTACAAATTAATTCAAAATTTTATTTTTATGGTCATAGATTAACATTTATCTTTAAAAAAATGATGATATAGTAATAAGATGAGCTTAGAAAGATTAACTAAATTAGACTATAATTAGAAATAATATAAAAATAATTAAAGTAAACGATTTAGAGTATTTTTAATTATTTAAAATTTAGTAAACATAATTTACAGAAATGTGATGTGTTTAAGAATATTAAACTAGTTAAATGATAGTTATAAATTTCATAAAATAATTAAATAACATAAATTAAGAACACTTCATTAACTATTTGAGCTAAAAATATCATAGATTAAACAAGTAAATAAAGTTAAAGACATCTCACTAAATAAATATACATAAAATAAATAAATATAATAATATAGATAATTTAAAAGGAATAAAAGTTACCTCCTCTTACCTTAATAGAAGAGTGAAACTGCTTAGAGTTAACTTAAGGTTGAATAAAAGAATTTTTTTTACTTTCCTTCTTCTTACTCTTTCTGTCTCTTCTTTCTCAATTTTTTTTCTTTTCTTCTCACGTTCTCTTTTGTATATGATGGTCCCCCTCTCCCTTTACCTATTTATAAGCAATCTTGGAATGATTACTAATTTTTTTCTAGTTAAAATTGAATTACAAGATTCAATTCTCATTACTTAAAGATAAACTTCATTACTTGAAGACAAGGAGATGAGGATCCGTACACTGCAACAGATTTTATCTATTGCAAATTTTTTTAAAGTTTTTCTCTTTCTTCTAACTACCTATATTATAAGAGATTTAAAATAATTTTATTACTTATATTAAACCTTTAAAATATAACATAATTAAAATATTATTTTGAAAAATATTCTAAATAGAGTTTTAAAATTTTATAATATAATTAAATATTATACTTTCATTTTAGTTTACTGGAAATATTGTAATAAAAATTTTAATGTATTAAAATTATATAAAAATATTTTACTTAATCTCTATTTATTTTAAAATATGACAACTACAAATTTAGACTATTATTTTAAGAATAAGATAATAATAATAATAATAAAATTGAGAATACCAAAATTATATAATATTGTAATTAAGTATTGTATTAGAAATTTAGAATATTACATATTGCTAGCAACAATGCAAGTGTGATGTTTTGTTTATCTATGTATGTGATATCTTGTTATATGTCTTATTTATGTTTGACTATTAGATTTGCATTCTTGTACCATAAATTAAAGTGAGATGTTTCTCACTCTTTTTCTTTTGTGTTGTTTTTGTGTCTTCTGCAGGTGATCATCAATATGGTATTGAGGATCGACGTTTGTGATGAGACATTGTCCTTAATGATGAGTTATACTTTGATAAAACATGTGACATCAAGACATAATTAGAACTAGTTAAGATTTGTTTCATGTTATTTAGTTTGAAAATTTTGGTTTTAATTCTTTTGTAATTTTTGTTATTTCATTAAACCTAGTTTATGTTAATAATATGATTTTTTCTACTTATATATATTTTGAGTTTATTTATTATATCAAGGTTATTTAGTTTTATATTATTTATATGTTATGATACGTTTTATCCTACGTATCACAAAAATTATTTTGAAATTCAAGTTAATAAGTACTATACCTTGAGAGAAATTGTTTAGTAATCTTAGATCATTTAATCTTTGACTAGTCTTTACATGACATATATATTATCAACTATTATTAATTTTTCATAAAAAAATTAAAATGGATGATCATGTAATAATTAATTAAAACCATAAATACTTAATAATTTAGCACCAAATAATAATTTTTCGTGCCATAGAAATTCTGAGACTCAAAATAATGCATAGCTTCTTTTTGAGTCAATTACCACCTTATAGAGTGGTGGTTGGAGTGTTGAGATGAGGGTCCATTAAATCATTACATTGTTTATCATTTGTAACCCACCTGGTCAATATCTAGTCAATGTTACTCAGTTAGTTGTTGAGTTGTCGAATTCACAGTAGATGTACGTGTCTCGACCACAATTGATATAAAAGTTATTCCCTCCAATTTTTTTAATTATTTGACGGTTAAAATTTATGTATAAGAATTAAAAAAATAATTGATATTTTAATTTTTTAAAATATTTATATTTTATATTTTATTATATTTTTTAGGTGGTTGAAGAAGAGATAAATATATTAAAAATGAATAAATACATTATTTATAGTAAACATATATTAATTACTAAAGATAAAAATATTTTAAAAAAATTAATAAGTCATTAATTTTAAAAAAAATAACAATAAAAAATGAAAAAAAAATAATGTCAAAATAACTATAAAAAAATGGAAGGAGTACAACAGAAATTAATATATCAAACAGCTTGAAAAATTAATTAAGGAGCATTAAGAAGATTAATCATATATAGGGAGGGTTATTATTTCATCAATGAAAATTAATTAGTTGCATGCATATCCATCAATAAGGACACAGAATTCATTAACCTCAAATAACATCGTACGTACATACATTTTGAACATAGGATCCCATGATACATAATGGTAGCTAGTAATTATATTATCTGAAAATACTACATGAGTACATGGAAAGTACAACCCAAAACCAAGTGACAAGAATTTATTGTAACAAGCTCTTAATTTCGAACTAATTATTTGGGTGAAATGAAACAGCTTGACCTTAATACATAAGAAAACGGGGTGATCCTAGCCTCCACAACATCTTATGAGTAAAATTCATTGATTATTGATGAATATAATGAATTTCTGCCCCCACCATAGTTTGTGAACAGTGAGAACAGAAAATATTGAGTCGTTTCTCTTTCTGATCTAGCCCATAGCTGTTATTGGCACCGACTCTACCAAAGGCTTCATGTCCTTAATTTCTTCGGTTGTTCCTGTCTCTACCAAAGTCTTTCTGTCATTATTAATTTTAACTTCATCATTTGTTCCTGCATGAATATTATTCTTGTCATGGATCATGGGGACAAAGTCCTCGTAGCATTCCTCCAAGGTTCTGAATTTTTCATCTGGGTATAGAGTGCAAATCTCAGTATCATTAGGTCCATCTGTGCTGAAGTTAACTTGGCAACCGTTGATGAAAATATCATGGGTGAAGGATGCTACAATACTTTGGGGTATACAATTTTCTGCACACAAAGTGTTAATCATTCATTAATATTCATTATATGATGAATGGTATAATTAAGATAATTGATAATAATATGGCACTGATTGAACCTGCAGCTATGGCGAGAAGATCATCCCCTGTGATGGTGACTCGGGGAATCTTACGATCAATTTTCTTTTCCCATAAAGAAGCAAGCTCGTTGACAGAATAACAGTTAGTGGCGGGTCGAAAATGAACGTTTTTGTTCAGCGTTCTGATATCATCAATGGCCAACATTGTGAACCTTCCAATATCATTGCCATCAACGAAGTATGCTGCACAATGCACATAGAACAAACTTTTCAATACTAACCATAATCAACATCAAGTTTATGTCTCAGTGTATTATCTTTAATTAGCAACTCTTACTATTCAAATTTTTATCATCTAATCATCAATTTGTAAAGGATCTTTTCTCTATTAGTTTTAATTTAATTTTAACATAATTAAACTGCTTGAAGGAGGTTTTAAAACACAAAATTAAATAATTATCACGCTTTCTTATGCACTTTTTCCGACACATTTTAGTTAAAAATTATAATAATAAAAAAAAGAGATAATTAAGACTCATAAATATTTGTGATTTATAATAAATTTTAGTATATAATAAAAAATATGTTAAAAAAGAGTAAATTTTCTATAAATGATACGGTTATTTTTTTTTTTAGCAACTTAGTCTTAGCAAAAAATACATATAGAGAAGGAAAAAAAAAATCTAGAAGAGGAGAGGAGAGAGACTAGATTACTATAGTCGTGATTTTTTTAAAAAAAATGTTCACGTTTTATTTTTAAACTTCTCTTATATAAAATAATAGTATATTTATTGAAGAAGAGTAATTTTTAGAAATTATTAATTAACAGGAATGTTTTAAACAATCTTTCTTTGATAAGATGTTTTTAATTTATTTTTATTTTTATTTCTAAATAAAACTTCAATAATTTTTTTTAAAAAATTATTAATAATAAAAACATCATTATACCACCATGTAAATTATTAATATTTTAATTGTTGATAATTTATTTTAAAACAATTAGTTCATAAACAAATATTATAAATAAAAATTGAATTATATAAAAAATTAAAAGAATTTTTAAAAATACTTTAGTCAAAAAATAATTTCTAAAGAAACTCTCGAATAAGATAACTTTCATGTTTATTCATAAATAAACACTAGATTAAATAAAAAAGTTAAAAGAATTCTTATAAATATTTTTATTAAAGAATAATTCTTAAAAATGTTCTTATACAAAATACACGTTTGTGTTTAATATATTATTTATGATAAATGTAAAATATAATTTATTTATTAAAAATGGAATTAAATTTATAAAATAAATATTTATGGGAGGATATTATTTATTACCTTTGACGTTGCCATCACCGTAGATTTGAAAGCGATCGAGTGGTGGAGGAAGCTGGGTTGGATGGCAATTGTCATGATAAGGCCAAGAAGCAATGGAATTGCAGCATATGTTTGTGTAAGGAATTCCATACTCCTCAACCATTCGCCTCACCAAACGCTTCTCTTTATACATTCTCAGCCCTGGCTCTACCGGATCTGCTCTGTCCACGTCATGCCCAAACTCTGACGGCACAAACCTCTGCAACAAAGATGATCACAATGAGAATTGAATCTAAATTTTCATATTTTTTATCATAGAGCGTGTTTTGAAACACGTTTCAAACGTGGAAAACCACGTTGATAGCTTCCACGTTCAACGTGGTTTTCCACGTTTGAAACGTGTTTCCAAACACGCTAATAATCTCTCCTCTCCTAACCAAGTACTAGATTAACTTCAGTGGTTCAAACCTTTACAACACTAATTGTTAAATTCATTTTCATCCACACATTTCTTATCTCTATAATAATTAAATAAATATAAATAAATAAAAGATTTTGTAATAACTCAATTTATACCTTCACACTCTTCACACATTTTATGGCCTCCACCAATGTAATCTGATCCAACAATCTTTCACCTCCTACAAGAGAAATCACCACGTCTATCTCATATTCCTTCAAAATCTTCTCCATCAATTCCTTGTCATTTATGACGCCCTACCAAACACAAATGGTTAAACTATATCAATGGAAAGTCAAAACCAAACATAAATGTAAAGTCGCCATCACCCGAAAAAGATAAATAAAATAATGAGCATAATGGTGAAGACAAAAATATCATGGACCACAAAGGAAATTCATCGATATCAATAATGTTCATTTTAAAATTTTAAGGATGTCTCGGATCATGTTTCGTGCTTACCCAAATCTCAGCAAATAAAAATGATCACTAAGGGGAATTAAGATACTATATTAATTATTTGTCAATATTTTATAATTAATTAATTGAATGAAAAGAAAATAAATTAGTTCAACCCTTAATTTAGTGTGTATTTGTTTATCCTTTAAACCTTCATTAGCATATTTTTAGAAACAAAACGTGACTGAAAAAAATTGATGGATTGAAGTTACTCTTTTCCCTTAATAGTTGTTGTGACCGAGGAGTGTAATGAATTAGTGAGAATTTCGTATTTTATTTTATCCATAAAAAGTATTACAATCACATAAATAAAATTCGAATTTAAAGTTTTGTACATATTCGTTAAACTCACTTCTAAGTCGAAGATTCACGAGTACTTCTTTTAGCATCACATTAAAATACGACTTTTCTTCTTCTTTTTTTTTTTCTTTCTAATTTTTGCATAAAATAAAATTGTGGTCTTTCAAATCAGGTTAATACAGTTTTAGTCATTAAAAATTTAAAATATTTTAAATGTCCACATTTTAATTAAACACGTATTTTTAGTTCTCGATAAAAGACTAAAACCACATGTACCTTTATATTAACATAGATTAAAAACATTAAATTTTTTAACAACGAAAATCAAATGTTAAAAAAAAAATTTGAGGAAAAAATAATTTATCTCAATTTTTAATCAAACTGTGCAAGTTCACACGCAGAAAACATTGTTTTTTCTTTTATATTTATAATAATGATAAAAAAAATAATTTTAGACTTTTTTCCTTTTATATTATCTAACTCACCACTGCTAGTTTGATTGTAATTATGCATGTACAAAGTACTGTAAGACTAAAAATATTCTCTAGAACCAAACTTTATTAACAAAACGCTGAACAAAATGATGAAGGTGTGGTGTGATTACTTTCGGTACTAGCTAGTCACGTGAAAACCCTCAACACTTTTTCCAGATACACAGAGACAATAATAAAGTTTAATATATAATACACAAATATATCATATGCATTCACATAAAAAAATATTATTATAGATATAATATATATAATTTTAATATTAATTTTAAATAATATTTAATAATATATATTATATCACAATAATTTATGTTTACTTTTAACAAGGAACGTATCAAGTGAGAGGAAATTTATTATGAAAGATGAGAGAGTTAAAATATAATTCTTAGATTAATTTTCTTTTACTTAATATGCTAAAACTTGATAATTTATAAAATTAATTTAAAAATTATATTTTAATTATTTCATTTCTTATAAAAAAAAATTTCTCATTTAATATGTTCTCTATATTAATATATATTATATTTATAATATAGGTTAAAGTTTAGTGACAACTGACAAGTGTTGTCGTTAGATGTGTATTACTGTATGATTATCGATTTAAAATATCATTCACAAAAAAAATGCATATTTTAGTGTAAAAGAAAACAAAAATTTGAGTGTAACGTTTTTTTTTAAACTTTACTTGAGTTTCACTCAAGTGAAAAATTACGTTTAAAAAACATATACCCAGCATACTGATTTTAAGTGGAACATAACGATGGATGCACAAAACACTTTAACACAAAAGAAGAAGAAAAAATGTGAAACGAAAATATTGATGCTTGATGCATTGAGAAAAAGGTAAAGAAAATGGAGGAGTGGTACTCACATGGATGACCTTAGCACCTTTGTCTTGAAAGGTTTTGACAATGGCAGCCTTGGAAGGTGAGACAGGGCCAGGCCTGAGGAGCAGAAACGTAGGGTACCCTAAGGCAAGGCTTGCCTTAGTTATGAACTGACCCATGAAGCCAGTTCCTCCAATGACCAAAGTACGGTTCTTGGAAATGGAAGGAAACGAAGCCGACACAGTCATGTTTCTTTCTTTGTTCCAACCTCCAACAACCTTGGACTTTGTTTTGGTATTTTCGGTTTTGATTTCGGAAGAGAGGAAATGGCACTCTCTTGTGGGGTGGCACTGATGTTTTTTGTATAGGAGTTGGAGCCGTTTATATAGTACTATTATTGGATGGGAAAAAATTAATGGTTCTTTATGGTCGTGATTACGGTTTAATTTCAGCTACTCTTCCACACGTTGAAGAGTTAATGTTGGAGATTACGATGATGTGTACATTTGAAGTTTAGATCTCATTGCCTTCGCTGACTGTTAGATAGTACCATAATTGTGTGCCGTACAAAAGCACCATACAGGTGTCGTTGCTTCATACAATATTTGTCCAGGATCACCCTGTCAGTGTCGGAAATCGGGAATCCGTAGCCATCATAAATATTATTTTAATTATGGGTCACCAACTACCAAGCCCATGAGATTTACTCCCTATTTGTTTTGGCTGAGTTATTATTCACGACGAATAAAAAGTGATGAAAAGTGAAGATGAAACTTGTTTATTTCGAACAAAATACAAAAAAAGAAAAGCAGGGAAAAGCGAGAAAGCTGTACGGAGGGTTCTTCGATAAATTATGGAGAAAAACAGAGAAAGTCACGTTGGCAAGAATTAAAAGACATGGTTGCCCTTTTAAAAATCACGTGCATAATTAATTATGCATGACACATAATCGATTATGTACCATACATAATCAATTATGTGGCATATTTTCGCTTCTAGGCGTGCCCAGAACGGGCCGCTCCAAAATTGGAACAGCCCGTTCCAAACTACTAAAACAAGGGTAATTTAGTAGTCTAGAACGGGCCGTTCCCAAACTGTAACGGGCCGTTCCCAAACTGGAACTGACCGTTCCAAACTAGTAAATTGGCTTAAAAACCTTAGTTGAGAACGGACCGTTCCAAATTCTTTGTTATGGATAAAAATGCAACCCCAAATTTGTAATGTTAAAAATTTCTTAATTTTTTAATTGGTAAAAACTAACTTATACAATTAACAAATGTATCTTCATTTCATTCTAATTTATGTCAATAATTTATTAATTTTTTAATTTATTAATTAACTTTAAAAAAATTTATTGTACATTTTTTTTATATTAAAAAAATTATATTATTTAAATATTGACACCAAAAGGTGGAAATATAAAAAAAATAAAGTAATACATGTTTATAAAATTAAAATAATAACACTTTCATAAACATTAATAAAATAATGTTAGAAAATATAATTATCATAATATATTTTGTTATTATTATTTATTATTATAAATATTATTATTATTATCATTATTATTAATATTATTATTATTTATTATAATTAGTATCATTATTATTTATTATGATTCTTATTATTTTTCTAATATTTATTATTATTATTATTATTATTTATTATTTTTTTAATAAATTATACCTATTAATATAATTTTATTGTAATTATTATTATTTACAATAAATAATATTATACTCATTTTTAATCCAAGGGTAAAAGTGTAAATTACATATTCATCTATTAAATTTTTAATTTTTATCTATCATTAAATTTAAAGCAAATATTTAAATTAAATTATTTTTAAATTAAGATTTTATATTTATTTTTTTAGTTAAAATTTTTATATTTATCTTTTAATTATAATAATTATAAACTTCTTTTTAACCTAAGGGCAAAATAGTAATCTTACAAAATCATCAATTAAAATTTTTTTTTATCTATCACATCAATCAATTCACTCACAAATTTTCTCTACACTTTTCACTCACTTTTCCTTATTCCAAACAACCTCACTTTCCACTCACTTTCCCTTCAAATCCCTCCTTTTCCACTCCCTCTTTTCCATCCTCAAATCCAAACAAAGTCTTAGTAATAATAATAATAATAATAATAATAATAACAACAATAACAAGAGTTAATCATTTATATGCGTAAATTTTTTTTAAACTAGCAACCAATCAAATATCTTAATATTGTCATGTTATTTGCTCATTTAATTAAATAAAAATAAAATAAAATAATTTAAAAAATATGATTGGTTGTTAGTGTAAAAAACTTTACAACTCTAATAATAATGAGTTTCAATATATTTTTATTTTTTTACATTTAGGATAATTTTATTTTTATCTTTTATAACTTCTAAAAATTTTGTTTTTATGTTTAGATCACTAATTATATATTTGAAAATGTTAAATTGAGATAATTATATAATATCAGTTAGATTTAATATTATTATTTTTAATTAAAAGACATATCAATAATTAGATTTTATATGAAAATATTTTATAGTTTTTAATAAAATTTAAATATAATGATTAAATTTTTTTAAAAAAATAAAATTACAAAGACTAATTTTAAATTTAAGAAATTAAAATATATTTAAATAATAATAATAATTATTATAATAATAGTAATTATGATGCAAGTGATATAACAAGAAAGAAATAAAACAATAGAAAGAAAATATGGTAAACAATGATATGCTATGGAAGAAAAAATCAATATATGTTTTCATTTATTTTTATATAAAAATTACTACTATATATTACTACAAATTAGTAGTGTTATAATGGTTCTGCTTCACCTGACTAGCACTGTGACCTTTGGAAGATATTCTCGGTCTCGTACAAAAAAGTTTAATCTTTAATTTGCATGTTCTAATCAAGATGCCTTTAAGTAGTTGATTGAGTAAAATATACTCCTCTGTTATAAACTTAAATTCTCATATTTTTTAGTTTTGAATCTGATCGTCAAATTATATTTCTTTGAGAACCTATATTTTTTAATCAGAGTGATTTTAAGAATTAATTAATTGTTTTTCAATGAGAGTATTTTAATCATATAATTTTTGGTAAAAAAAATACACGTATTTTCTACCAAGTAGTGTTATGTTTAAGTAAAGTAGGATCACCATGTGAGTGACGTAGTTCTCCGTTAAACAATATATTGCCTTTGTATTTGAACTTTAGACCACTAGGCATGGCAATGTGGCAAGTTTGTTTTCGCTGCCTCTAAAAGGTGGGCTAGGTTCAGCTTTTAAGGTGAGATTATAATTTTAAAACTTATTATCATCTTTGTCAAATTTTTTCAGGTTCAAGTCAACTCACAGAAAACCCATGTCTTTTTATTTTATTATTTTAATTTTCTTGAACATTTTAAATAAACTATATTTAAAGTTGTAAATGATATTATCATTAAAATAATATAAAAATTAATAAATAAAAATTATATCTTTGAACCCGAATGTAGTCATACTGTCAAAGTGAGCTTTCCTTGCTTAAATTGAGTCGGTGTCTAAAAGACTGAAAACTACTCGCAAGTTCGAGTTTAATTAAGATATTACTGATTAAGCTAAAATAATTAGAGCAGTGTGACATGGCAGCAAGAGTTTCTTGCAAAAGAGAGAGGGTTGCTTAGTGAAGCAACCGTCCCTTAGCTTTGTAAACGGAAGGAGGCGCGGTGGTGAAGCGTTGGTTAGACGGCGGAGGCGCGGGGTTGGACGGCGGGGGCGCGCGGTTGGACATTCTGCTGTGTGACCTGATCGGAGCGAAATGGATTGAAGCCGGAGCCAACGACGCTGTTGTCGACAGCGGTGGACGTTTTGGACCCAGACCTGGGCCTGGCGCGCGGCGGAGGTGGTGGCAACAATGGTGGCATAAGGTTTTAGGCAGACAACATTGAAGTGGAGGAACGGAGACGGCGCGTCGGAGGAGGAATTGAAGTGGAAGAAAAATGAAAAGGCACTGAAAGAAGACGTTAGGCTTAAATAAATAAAAAAATAAAAATAAAAATAAATAAATAAAACCAACGACCAACCCACTGCCACAATACAATCTTGCTATAAATAGAGTATTTTATAAAATTAATTTTATTTTTCATTTTTGTAAATATATAACACAACAACTTTTTAAAATATATAAATAACAAAAATATAATTAATAATGTATTAAAAATAAAAATAATATTTATTTTAAGAATTTATTTTTTTCTTATACCATGCTTAATTAATAAGTTGTAATGAAACGAAAAGAATAATGAAATTTTATAATTAATTTTCTCAGGTATTTAAATATTTATCATTTTTTATTGTAGCGCAATTGTATTTTTTAATTAAAATTTAAATTTAGTTCATAAATGATTAGAAAAAAAATTCTAAAAATTGAATTTCTTAAAGTTTTTTACCATTGTAGTAAATTTCTGTTTAAGTTGCTTAATGCTAACATGGCACCCTGGGGACCACATTTTTCATTTTCCAATGCATGAAGCAACTCATTTGAGTTGCTTCCATTGGAGATGCCCTAATATATTGTAACACCCTGAATTTTCTACTAATACAATATTAATTATTATTTATTTTTATATTTATGAATATTTTTTTTATAGTTATTTTAATTAATTAAAGGGGTTTTATAGAATATTGTAAAGATTTGTAATAATTTAAATTATTTATGAAAATTTTTATATAAAATTCTGATTTTTTTAGGCCAGAACAGGCTGTTCCAAAAAGTGGAACGGGCCGTTCCAAACTATGAAAAAAAAAACTATTTTTGAAGTAGCAGAACGGGTCGTTCCAAAAGTGGAACGACTCGTTCTCAATTGGTAAAGAAGCCAATTTTGGTTATTCTAGAATGGGTCGTTCCCGAAGTGAAACGGGATGTTCCAAGATTCTAAAAATGCCTAAAAATCCAAGTTAGAAATGGGTCGTTCCAATGATGGTCAATGTGTGTAAAATGAACCCTAGAATGGGCCGTTCTGATTTTAGAACGAGCCGTTCCAGTTGTAAATTTTGCATGTAACGAATGACTTCAGAACGGGCCGTTTCGGATTCAGAACGGGTCGTTCCGGGTACCCTTGAATGCCTATAAATAGGAGGCATGGGTGAAAAAAAATTATAACTAACTGAGAAGGTAAAAACTTAGAGAGAGAAAGAGAGAGAAAGAGAGAGAGAGAAAGAGAGAGAGAGAAAGAGAAAGAAAGAGAGAGAAAGAGAAAGGAAGAGAGAGAAAGAAAGAGAGAGTCCAGAGGAAAAAAGTAACAAGGTCCTGTTCAAGTTTCAGCTCCTGCTTATCCAAGTAAGGGGAGAGTGAGAAATCTCGCTCG